TGTGTGTGTGTGTGTGTGTGTGTGTGTGTGTGTGTGTGTGTGTGTGTTTGTGTGTGTAAAAAAAAATCATTTCCCTTTGAGGGCACTTTGTCCTTTGAAGGAGGCAGGGAGGCAGGGAGGCCACGCGGTCAGTGCTTCAACCAAGGGTAGGCTTCGATGGAGGCCTTGCTCCGGTCACCATAGTCGTACAGGAGCTCCTCCCCAGCTGCGATGTCTCGGGAGGCGATGAGGATGAGGTGAGGCACGCCATCAATGTCATGCAGTTTGGTCTGGCAATTCCCACACTTACTGTGGTTGATCAGTCTCCCTAGGCGGTTCGTTTCTCGAGTGGCATCCACGCTATGGTGACAGGGGAGAAAGAGGGTTACATAGATAAAAAGGCTTTTGACCTGGCTGGGGTCTTGCCCCATATGGCCCTGGTGGGATGTGGACTGGCAGCCCCATTTGGAGGAAGACAGCTTAATTCCAAAGAAGAGCTTGGGGACAGAACCCAAAGAACTCCCCATGGAGGTGAGGAGAGGAACTGCAGTGTTTCAAAATCTATAAATGGGTAAAAATCAGCTCCCCAGACCTCAGCCAGGAAGAGCAGTTCCTGCTCTGCAGAGCTGCTCGGGCAAATGCCCAGAAGGAAAAGCCTGTGAGCGGCTGGGCAGGTTTGTAGGCAGAAAGTCCTCTCCTGCTGGAGGATAACTCCAGTCCCAAAACTACCGGGGGTGGGGTGAAAGGAGTGAGCTCTCTGGACATGGCGCTTCACGCTTGCAAGCCTAGCACTCAGGAGGCCGAGGCAGGAAGCTGTTCAGTTTGAGGCCAGCCAGGGCTATACAATGAGACCCGACTGAATTGTAACTAGTAAGGAAGCTAACCTCAGAGACTCAGGAGTGGCTCCGGGTACCCAGCTCTCCGCCATCCTTCACTCAAAAGGTTAAAAACTCATTCACTCACACTGTGTACTTACCAGTAGGTTTTGCTCAGATACTGAAAATAGTACATGTAGCAGCCCGTGGAGGGGTCCTGCGCGTACAGAGCCTCCCGCTTCTTGGCATCGGTGATCTCAATGAGGTCCCCATGGTACTCTACCACAAAGTCCCCCCTCGAGAACTGCTTGGTGGCAATCACACCCCTGCCTTTGCCATCAATGAGATCAATCTGTCAGGAGGGGACAAGACAGTACAGGTCCGTAAATGTGACAGCTGTCACCAGGCACGATGTCTTCCAGACAGCTTGGACTATACATTTTCCCAACTTTACTGGGTGGACCTCTGTGTAGGTGGCTTAATGGCTTTTACTAACTGTTCTGGGTCCAGCTTCACATCATTCCCATGCCATCCCACAAAGAGCCCTCTATGCCCATTCAAAGTGCTCCTCATGCCAGGCTCCCAGCTGAAATCTGCTAAGTGGGCAGAACACCATTTTGCCAATGAGAAAAATGAGGCTTGGAAAGGCAGAATCACCTGCTCAAAGCCACAAATGGTGACACTTGGGGGCTCTGACCCATAAGGTTCTCTGCTTATTGGGGGAGCAGCAAGGCCCAGTGTCCAATACCCTCTGCTACACATGGACAGCTGCCCCGTTAGTCCATGGAGGGAGGCCAGGACTAAGTCCGAGAGTTTAGGTTACAGGAGGAAAGAAAAGGCTTTTGACCCTTGGTTCTCAGAGCAGACCCATCCAACACAACACCCTGGAGAGGTACAGGCCCTCACCAAAACTACAGGTATGTAAAACACTGAGAGTCGGAGTGTACAGTACATGCTTAGCATGCACAGGCTGAGTCAGTCCCTGGCATTGACGAAAACCAAGATCCATTAGGAGAAAGCAAATGTCTTAGATCCTGCCCAATGGAAAACAGTTGAGTAGCTGGGACGACAAAACTTTGTCACTATTCCCACTGTCCAGCGAGTCCTGGACTCACCAGGATGGTCCCAAACTCAGAGATCTGCCTGCCCCTCCCTCTCCAGTGCTGAGATTAAAGGCATGTGCCACCATGCACGGCCCACTTTTTCTTTTTTCATAGCCCACCCAGGGCTCAGCAGAGTGATACATGCCTTCAATCCCAACACTTTAGGGGCAGAGGTAGGCAGATCTCTGTGAGACTGACCGACCAGTCTGTTCTACAGAGCTGCACAGAGAAAGAGAAACCCTGTTTTGGAAAACACACCAAAAGGGGGGGAGGGGCTGACAGATAGCCCATTGATTAAGAGCACTTATTCTTGCATAAAACCTGAGATCAATTCTCAGCATCCAGCTGGTGGGTCAGAACCATCCACCACGAAACTCCAGTTTTAGGGGATTAAATGAATGCCCCCTCTGACTTCTGTGTTCACCAGGCTCGAATGTGCTGCAAAGACATACGTGCAAGCAAAACACTCATTCCACAAAAATTTAAATAAAACTAAAGTTAAAGTGGATGTTCCGTCAAGGATGCCTCATTACAGTTAAGCGGATGATTCTTGTGTGTACCCTTCCTGACATGCACACCTCACAAGAGATTTTGGGTCTGGCCCTTTGACACTCTATGGATCACCACAGTGCAATGGTGCTCTGGCCTTACCTTCATGCCTTCCTCCTTACCACTCTCAATCAGCTCATCTATTTTTCTCCTCTCTTCAGACTGTGTGGAAAGGAAATGAAACAACGGTTAGTGTTCACCTGCTGGGCCCCTGCCAACCTGTGACACCAAAGCCCTGAGCTTGCCTCTCCTTACTCGCATGCATGAGCAATCCATCATCTAGGTCCATCTGGAACAAGAGGGACACACACAGCTCTAGCCTGCTACACTTTAAACCTTTGTTTCTGTTGGTTTCTGAGACAAGCAATCACTCTGTAAGGCCACGCTGGCCTTGAACTCAAGATCCACCTGCCTCAGCCTCCAGAGTCTGGGCATCACCATAGTCAGCTAGTCTGGATCTCAAGTGTCTCCCCAAAGGTCCTGTGAAAAATGTATAGATGGCCCTGTGGTATCATTGGGAGGCACTGAAACTATTAAGAGGTGGGATTTGGGGCTGGAGAGATGGCTCAGTGGTTAAGAGCACTGTCTGCTCTTCCAAAGGTCATGAGTTCAATTCCCAGCAACCACATGGTGGCTCACAACCATCTATAATGTGAACCGATTCCCTCTTCTGGCAGGTGTAAATACAGATAGAACACTCATATACATAAAATAAAAAAAATAAAATAAAATCTTTAAAAAAAAAAAAAGAGGTGGGATTTAGTGGGGTCATGGGGATGTACCCTGTACGGGATAATGGGAGCCCTATTTTTTTCATTTTCAGCAATGAAGCAAGTGGTTTTGTCCCACATGCTCTTCCATGAGGTGCTGCCTGTAACAGGGTTCTGCTCATGAACTGAAGCCCCTAAGGCAGTAACAGAATAAACCTTTATTACCACAGATATTTGTGATAGAGACTTAAAAGTGCTGTTTGTCCTGTATAGTACTATAAAAAAATGTTTAAGTCACCAGGATCTAAAAACCAGGACCCCAGAGCTAGCAAGATGGCTCAGGGGGCAGAGGCCTCTGCTGGCAATCCTCACTATCTGAACTTGATCCCCAGAACCCACATAGTAGAAAGAGGGAACCAACTCCTGACCACCACACCCAAACCACAGCACACAAATGTCCTGCTACAAGTAAACATAAACTCTGGATTCTGACATCACATGAGATCACCGTCACCCATAAACTGGGCATAGTGGCCGGTGCTTGTAATTCCAGCTGCTTAAGAGGCTGAGGCACGATGTTCACACATTGGAGGCCAACCTGGGTTATATAGTACGCTCTGGGCCAGCACAGAGCAATGTGGTAACAGCCTGCCTCCAAAGGAAAAGGAAAAGGGGGCACTAAGGGGACAATGTTTGCACAACATATGGGTTTAATGCCCAGCACCACCAGATAGACAGAATCTGCCACTTGTCCCTCCTAGCTAACTGATACTTCCCTTGGAGGCCTAGCTCAGACCTCTAAGCTATGTCTGTCCTCCTAACCAGTAGGACAACACAGCAGAAACAGAGAAGCTGGCAATCTCTCCTGCTCCTACTACAGCTCACCTTGGATCCCAGTGTGCCCTCTCATTACACAGGATGCTAGGGAACAAGAGGGAACTATGGAGACAACAGATGCTCCAAAGCACTCTGGCTTATCAGATGGAGGCACTTCCTGGGCAGATAGTATCTGTGGAGGCCTTGCCACCTGCTGGGCTCACACCCTTGCTAGACCTTGTAGACAGAGCCTGGGGCCAGGGTACAACTGGCCAGTCAGTCCACACCTACCCTGGGAGAGGCCCTGGGACACCTAATGGAAATACTGATGAGTGAATGAGACCAGGTGTCCACCTCTAGGACAGTCTAAAATCTAGCCACCTTTGTCTCTGCCCCTATTGCTGGACCCAGTTAGGTCATTATCTGACAGCCATCTCCTTAGGCTCAGGACTTCCACTGTGAACCAAGACTCCACTCTTTACCTAGCACCACAGGAGTCTTCTGAAATATTATTTGTTATTACTAGTATTATTTTTAAAAGCACCACTACATCCAGCCCTTTAAAAATTATAAAAGAAGTCACATCATTGCAATATGTTCACCTAACAGTGAATGCTGCTTCCCAGGTAGTGACAAATATACAGAATGATTCAAGATGATAATAATAGAACAGGTTAGTAATGGGTCCCTGAGAAGGGTCTGTAATACCTTTGTAAGTTTTCTATAAATCTAAAATTACTAAAAAACTTTAATACTAACACTTGGGAAACAGAGGCAGGTAAATCTCTGTAAGCATGGTCTACAGAGAGAGTTCTAGGCAGCCAGGGCCATACAGAAAAACCCTGTCTCAAAAAACCAAAACCAAAAATTAGTTTTTTAATTTAGAATTAAGTCAAGGGGTGGTGGCACATGCCTTTAATCCCAGCACTGAGAGGCATAGGCTGGTGGATCTCTGAGTTTGAGGCCAGCCTTGTCTACAGAGTGAGTTTCCGGATGGCCAGAGCTGCACAGAAAAACCCTGTCTTGAAAAGCCAAAAACAAAGCAAAACAAACTCCAAGTGCTGAGATCAGAGGAGCACAACATCACATTCACCAGGAATGCTGGTTTAGTTTACGCCTTCCCAATCATTACCTTTTTCTGTTTTGAAACAGTTGGGCTTTGAACTCAGAGATTGGCCTGCCTCTGCCTCCTGAGTACTGGGATTAAGGGTGTGTCTGCCAGATACAGGCCTCAATGCCTCACTCCCCATCAGCTACACAGCCAGCTCTTCCAGAAGGCCAGGTCTCCAGCCTCTAGGCCTTTGAGCAGCTGTGCTTCTTGCCTAGGGTGACCTTTTCCCTAGTCCATCTGCTGCTTGTTTCCTCCTGTACTCCAGAGCTGTCAAGACACCTTTTCCGAGAAAATGCAGATTCCAGGGGACCAAGGAGCCTTAGGCTCACAACGCTACCACACTACTCCTCTCAGTAAGCTAATATCCAAAGGCACGCAAAGTTAAGTTTTGTCGTCCTGACAGGACTCCTGGTGATTACACCTAGGGTTCTTGCCTGGGAGACAAGGGCTGTAGAGCTGTGCTCCAGCACTAGCTAGGGGTTTTATTAAGTCGCTAACCACACCCTGTGGGAATAGGCAAGGCCTATAGTCCTCAGGTGGCCTCAGAAAAGAGGAGGGAGCCAGGGCACTGCCAACAGTTGCAGTTCTTGCTACCGTGTAGTTGCCACTGCATCAAAGGGCAGGCCAACCAGACAATGGACTCCTTAACATAGCCCCATGAGGCTGGGGGCACCTCTCTATGGCTTGCCCTGTGCTCAAACCCCTATGGTCCAAACCCCTCCCTCCTCCTCTGAACTCTGGACCTGGCTCTACCCTGGCTGCTTTTCTTCAGCTCCACAAGGAGTCTCAGATCTTGGTACTTTGGTCATCTACAGTAGCTCTTGGTCCACCTACTCAGCTCCTAGCTTGGCCTAGTCAGATCAAGAGGAACTTCAACCCTCTGACAGGCCCAGCTGCTATGCCTTCCAGCTTTCTCTGCAGTCAAGAGAACACAGATCCTGCCAGCAACAGCCACATACACACCGCCACAGGCGCTGTCACTTCACTGCCACAGCCAGCAGCAGGGGAACAGTGCTCTTTCAGCAGAGCCAAGACAAACAGTGAGGGACACAGCATGGCTCTTGCTTGTACTGGTGCCTGGTCTAGCAATGGGGCACACTTTCCCCACTGCTGGAAGCAGGTGACCTCTGCAGCCGCCCCCGGAGCACAGAGCCCCAGGTGCTCCTACCCAGCAGCCCCAGACCCCTGTGGGGCCTGCCACGGTTACTGCCTGGCTGAGGAGCCCTGGTTTCTGACGCCTGGCACCACCTCCGCTCTGCAGTGCTATCTTTGAGAGTGACTGACCCAGCACAGACTCCCACTGCTGGCGGCTGTTTCTAACAGCTCATTCGTGGCCAGAAGACTCTGTCTTTCACAAGAAATAAAGCCAAATCCAGTGAGGAGGTGGAGGAAGGGAGGCAGACCCCCCTCCTTTGGGCTGGTTTTTAAGATAAAGCTGCATAGATTAAAAGAAAAGAGGTTGGCAGAGTTACAGAGCTGCAGATCTGTCATCTCTGATGCTGACGAGACCTTTGCAGCAGACAAAATGCTTCAACTGCCCAGACCAGTACCCTCTTCCCTGTTTGGAGGTGACCTGAACCCTCTAGAGTTCAAAAGAGAGTGAGGGCAAGGAGCTATCTAGCCATACCATTGGGGTTCAGAACAGAGAAGCAATAACCACACCCCACTGCACCAAATATTTACAAGGCCGCCAGCTTGGTACTGTACACACGGCTGTGGGCCACCTGGTCTGGCTGCCTTCTTGCCTACAAACCCCTTTGTGTTCAGCTGGAAAGAGGCAGATAGGACACCTGGGAACTGACCATATTGACAAACATGGAGGGTGGGGGTTGACAGTCTCAGCTAATTGCCATTTCCACGTCCACATCATTACGGAGCTTGAACTCCTAATCTGTCTCTAACCTCCTCAGTTAGAGACTCCTCAGTTAGTTCCTCAGTGCTGGGATTAGACAAAAGCTACCACCTCCAGTTTACAGGGGCTAGGGATGAGAGGACTTCTAGCAGCAACTAAGCAACTTAACTATCTATGTCCCTAGGCGCAGGGTGCCATTTATTTCAGACAGGGTTTTACTATGTAGCTATGAGTGGTCTCGGGCTGGAGATCTGGCCCCACCCTCCTGAGTGCTGGTATTCACCAAATGTCATGAACTCATTTCTTAATCTTTATAACATCGCACCACTGTATCCTTCAATTTACTTATTTATTTATTTATTGAGGCACAGTCTTGCTATGCAGCCCTATCTGGCCTGGAACCTGCTGTATAGTCTCATCGGAACATATCAGTTCTAGGATTATAGGTGTGTGTCTCCATGCTGGGCCTTCATCACTCCATTTCACACACACAGGACAGTGTGATACTCTAACACAAGGCTTGAGCTCAACAATCAGCATATACTTCCAAGCTACTGTTCTTTAGAAACTTCTAGGAGGCGGACAAGAAGACGCTCCTGAAAGAACAGGCAGCTTCCCCCATAGTCCCAGGCTCCAAACACACTGACAGCACATTCTGGAAAAGCCAATGTGATTTTCTTTTCCAGGAAGTACAGGTTACAAGGATCCCCAGAGGGGTTTTAAGTATGCATGCCTCCTGACCCACCTGGAAGGTAGAGCAAGCTAAGGATGATCTCTGCCAGAACAAGACGCACACCCCAGGCTCCGCCCACACATGCTAAACAAAGCCCACAGGCCAGCTTGCTTCTCCCTGCTGCAGCCATCAGACCCTACCTGCAGCTCAGCTTTGCTCTTACGGGAGCTCCTTCTCACAGGGTAGAAATCTGTGAGTTTTCTATTCTGCTGCGTTTTCCCTTGAGACCTGAGTGAGAGGAGGGAAGAAAATAAACATGAGGCCTGCTGCCCTGCAGACCATACCCAGGAGTTAACTCCCTGTAATTGTGTTCCTCAGACACCAAGATGAGATGCACAGGGACTACATGAACATCTGCTCATCTACCTGGGTAAGCCCCAGTTTCAAGGACAACTAATTATTCCTCTCTGAGGAAAGAGACAGGGAGGGAGTCTTTGACCTCTAGCCCCTGCTACACAGATACAGGGAAACACCAGGAAGTGTGCTGTGATGACTCAGGGGAGAGAGGCATCAGGGGCCAGAGCTAGGCCATAGGCACCAAATGGTCTGTTAGGAGAGAGCTTCAGGCTACTTACTTTTTCCGAGAAACTGGTTTGCCCTTGAGGGGCTTTTTTAGGGCCTGTTTTGCAACCACTGCATTGGTAGAATCACATGACGGGGGTGGAGTTTTTGGAGGTTCTGCTGCTTCGGATTTTTGGTTTGGAAAAGGTGCCAGGGGACCTCTCCTGGCATCTTTGATTTTCTGTTCATCGGACTTCACGGCGCTTCGGATCACATTCCCAGCATTTCTTTTCTCTGCAGCAGGAGGGGTGTGGGACAGGGATTTACTCTATGTACTGGTTATCACCTATGTTCTAAGACAGGCTAAGAACAGAGCACCATGGCTATGTCACGGAGGAGCTGGAGCCTACTGAGCCAGTGTCCCCTAAGGCCAACCGGGCAGAAGTACTTGGATTTATACTTTGACCAGCACACTGAAGACAAGACCTGGTCCTCAGTATGTGGACAAGGGAGATAGCCTGTGATCATGTAAAGTATGTTGGGTGATAATGCTGTCCTGAGTGCTCGGCCAAGGGCTCTCAGACATTGCTGCAGATACACAAAAATAAGCTCATTTCCCAAAGCAAGAGCCAGCTAGCACTGACGGGACAGAGTGAGGGGAAAAAGCCCAAACTCTTACCCACACTGCCTGGCATACCTCACTTCAGTTTCTTAGCCAAACAAACCCTCCTTTTAAGGCTCTCAGAGAGTCTCCGGAAGGTACCCAGGCAGACTGGCGTGCACCCTGTCATGCGGTACTGATAGCAGAAGTCCTTACTGATAGCAGTGTGTAGGCCTGCACTGGTGAATCATGCTGTTTTTCACAAATGGATTTAACGATTTACTACTTTTTGTTGTTTTTTGAGACAGGGTTTCTCTGTGTAGCCTTGGCTAACCTGGACTCAATTTGTTGACCAGGCTGGCCTTGAAATCACAGATCAGCTTTCCTCTGCCTTCCTGAGTGCTGGGATTAAAGGTGTGCCCCACCAGGCCCAGGTACTGATTTACTTTTTTAAAGCAAATAACTAGTATACTATGCAGACATACGAGATGGCACAGTGATTTTGGGAAACAGTTTGACAGTTTCCTCATAAAGTTAAACATTGAGTTGTCACATGACCCAGCAGAAAGCTCCTCAAAGACTAAAAACACATGCCTATACAAAAATTGGTAACTTACCCATAACTAGCCAGAAAGCAAACATCCCAAACACCCATCGGTGGATAAATAGTTACTACATATCCTATTACTTCATTTGCATGAAATGTCCACAACAGGCAAAGCTGCAAACCCAGAAAGAAGTTTCAAGGCTGTCTAGAGCTGTGGGGGATGGGGAGTGCAGCCTGAGTGTTAATGGCTGTGTTCTTTGTGGGGTGATGAAAATGTTCTGGACTTAGAGGTGGTGGTTGTGTGACTCTGCACACACACTAAAAAAAAAAAAATCACCCAACCACACACTATGGAGCCGGGGATGGAGCTCAGCAGCTCAGAGTAAAATGACAGCACATGCCTGTAATCTCAGCCCACTTGGGAGGGGGAGGGAGGGGAACACAACCTAAGGGGAAGTTTGAGGCTGGCCGGGGCTGCAGAATAATAAAAGACTTGGGTTGGGACTTAGCCCAGTGGTAGAGTACTTGCCTAGGTGCCCAAAGTCTCTGCGTTCTGCCCCAGGTTCTACAAAATTAACAAATAAACTTTGATGCCTGGAATTACAGCTCAACAAATCAAAGAGGGAAAAGAAATGCATCACAAGTATCCAGGAAGGTGGAGCTGGTGATGGGCTAGCTTGGCGAGTAAAGGAACTGTCACATAAACATGAGGACCTGAGTGCGAATTCCCAGAACAGGCATTAAAAAAAGTGCGTAAAAGGGGTGCAGTCCACAGCATGAGATGACTCAGAGGTAAAAGCCATTGCCGTCAAGCCTCATTTCCTCAATTTGATCTTTAGGACCTTCACAGGAGAAAACCAACCCCTGTAAGTTTTCCTCCGAACCCCCACGTACATGACAGCACAGAGGTACCCGCCCACATGCATGCACACAAAGAAACTAAATAAATGTAATTTAAACAGAAGCCCCAGTTTAGCGAGATCAGCCCCACTCTCTTCTAGGCGGGAGTGTCCAGTGTCCTGTGTATACTGTAAGACCTGTCTGTGCCACAGCACAGCTGAGTGAGACTATGACCCTTCTCAGAAACTCCAATGTACATGTGACCCCAAATTCTATTTACTGTCATTCAGCAGCACCACATGGACAATAGTCACTCTGCTCAGCTATGACCTCACACAGAGTCCTTTGCCCACGCCTGGGTGGCAGGTACCTTCCTAACATCTGTAGGCACAAGGATGTAGAAAGATTTGGCCACAGCAGTGGGGCCGAACTGGCAGCTGCACCATCTCAAGGCCCTTCTACAACCATGCTGTACCTTACTCCCAAAACAGCTCAATGGGTGAGAGAGCATTTGTTCTTAACTGATAGATATGACAATTGGGGCTCGCAAAAAGAGCTGCAGCTTGCCCAAGCCTCTTCCAAGTGGCAGGTACAATTAAAAACTAAGTTATTTTGAGACTGACTGAGACAACTCTTGTGCATGGGGGTGGGGGGGAATCAAGCTGAGGGCAGGCTCCTTCCAGAGGCACAGCGCTCTCCCACATTAGTTCTCAAAGAAAGCCCTAGCTAGAGGTTGGGATTTAGTACTTCTGACCACTTCTGTTAGTGAACAGACAGCTTTCTCCTATAAAGCCAAAGGGCCTTGCTTGGCCTGGCAGGATTCATCTATAAGGAATGAGTTCTGGGGTGGACAGGAGCCTCTCCCTCCCTGAAGCTCTAAAAGGGAGTATCTGGAGGGAATCAAGATCCTTAGAGGGTTGCTTTCTTCATAGAGCGAAGCTGAATTTTCTTTCTGTGGTGTTAGGCGTGGACTTAGGGCTTTTCGCCTGCTAGGCAAGAGCTGTGCCACTGAGCCACATCCCAATCCTACTGACTGTGGGCAGCGGGGTGGAAAAAGCCTCAGACTGCAGTCATGCTGGCTTTGCAATCCTAGAAATCCTGACCTGGCTTTTACAGAATTTCCTAATAAACACGCACTATTGGTTTAACCTTTTCTGCTTCTTTTTGTAAAGTGCTCAGGATCAAATTCAGGGTCTCACATGCTGCCACTGAGCCCTGCACCAGCCTACGCTCAGTATTTAACTCAAAAATTCACACACAGGGCAAACTGCTTTGAAATTAACCCAGAGCGCTTGAATGGGAAGAAACCGTAGAAAGGGGGTCAGGGCCTGCCGTACAAGGTAAGTTAGTTGATTCCGAGTTTACCTCACACCGCAGTCCAGCACCTGCTCTGTACAACCTGAACTCACCTTTTCTGCACTTTTAACAATCATAGGTCTCTCAAATTGCAGGGCAGGTGTGTTATTTTTGCAATGTGGCAAGACACGCCTGAAGGACAGGCTAACTCTTGTGAAAGTAGGAGAAACCTGTCAGACCACAGGACACACACCCTGACGCATCCTACTCTCTCCACCTCGGTTTGTTTCTCACTAGTGAGAAGGAACACGGTCAACATCTCCCTCACACCCTGCACTGGGAAGATGAGAGAGGGGGGAGGGGGAGGGAGAGAGCGATTATACAACCTGAGCAGCGGAAGGCAGAAAGAGGCCATTCAGGACTTACCTTCTCGCTTCCTGTAGATTCCAGCTAATGGTTTCCCCTGGCATTTGACCTCGTGATGTGCAACCGAATTCTCTTCCTGAAGCGGGGAGCGCATTCCAGAGCATTTGTTCGGACTCATGTAGGCATAGATCTTTGACTGCCCAGCAAACACGTTCTCCTAGAAAGACAAACAACGTATTCTGAACGAGGCTTGAAAACAGAGACATTCCCACAGCATTTTAAAAGAAGAAGGGGAAATAATACAAAAGACAGACGGCATCACCACTCCAGGACAGGCCAACCAGGAGATGCCAGCCTTAGGAGAGCTCTCTCAGGAGAGCAACCAGCAGATTTTGAAGCCCCAGGTTTCTGAACATACGTACTCTTTACACCATGTCCCTAAGGAGAAAGTCTGACCAGCAGAGGACAAGTTGGTAAAGGAAGGTGCAGGCCGTTTAAGAAAAGACCTAACCTACCAGCAGCAGGGAGGTCAGAATGACCCAGGGAAAACCGACTCTGGATCCGAAAGGCTGGGCTGAGTCAGGGGTTAACTCCTCAGGCTAGGGAGTCAGCCAATAGCACAGAAACAGGCCTAAGGGAACCTGATTAACCGCTCAGTGCTGAGGCCAGCTGGGAGGGCTTGCGCACTGCCTGAGCTTGTGAGCCAGGCCTGGCCCCTCTCAAGCCACGGCAGCTCAGCACCTCCCAGTACTTTGGCTGAGGGATGGGGCAGGCCAATAAGAGCACAGGCTCCTGGCCAGCGCACTTAGGGCGGCCACTCCGCTGCACACCGCACCTTGGCTGCTAACATGGGGCAGACAGGGAGAGGCTGGGCGGTACAGGTCACCGCTGAGTTGGTGTCTTTGGGTGTGGGGCCTCTCCTCCGAGTGACTACCCAAAGGAGGGCTCTCCAAGAAACAATGCAGGGCCTGGCAGCCCGGTAAGCCACTAAACACCAGATCAGACACTTTGGGGACTGATCGAGGGACAAGAGCAAGACCCACACAGCCTTGAGAAAGCAGCCATCTCCATGGATCCTAGGTCTCGGGAGGGGCTGGAAATGCCACAGGGCCAGAGTCAAAACTTTTCGAGGTCAGACATCACCAGTCTGGGTCACAGTGGAGCCGGAGTGCAACTCCCGGCCGGGCGGCAGAGAAGGAAGCTGCCCCGCGCCAGTCCCGTTGGCGGGCGCCACTGGGGGTCGGAGAGCCCCCGCCGCTGCGCCCACGTGCGCGAGGCCCGGGCCCGGCTGGCGCACTGCTCAGTGCGGGGAGGGAGCCTGCTTACCCCGTCGCTGCGGGGCCTCCCCGGACCCCTCCGCTCCACCATCTCCGGGCCCGGGGCCGTCGCCGCCGCCACCGCCGCCGCCGCCGCCGCCGCCTCCACCGCGCGGGGCTTGCACATCTTCCTGCCTGGAGAGGGGGGACCCGGGGGAAGCGGGGGAGGGGCGCTCAGGGCGCGGCGGCGCTGGCAGCGGGACCATGGGTGCCCGCCGCAGCCATGTCTCCAAGCCCGCACGCAGGGGGCCCGGCTGCGCCGTCCCTGGGCCCGAGCCCTCGCCGCGGCGCCCTTCCCACCCGGCCCGGCAGGGGCCCCCTAGCCCGCCCCACCCCACGCGCCCGGGCCCGACACACCCACCTGCAGCCCGGCTAGGCCCATGGCGGCGCGGCCGGCGCCCTCGCCCTCGCCACGGCCCGGCCACCAGCGCCGCCG